TGATTGAAAAACAAATTCCTATCTTTCGTAGATGGCATGCTCACTTGATAACTGTTCAAAAGGGAAATAGAGGGTGAGCATATAACCAGAAACAAGAGCCCAGGCGTGAGGAATACTTTTCAGATTTGAATAAGAATACTCAACTAACATTCTTAGAAATTTTCAGCCTTAGCCTTTGAACTACAGTTATTCAAATACTTGTAAGAATAAGCAACAATAGAAACTTTGGTAAAAAGAAAGGGCACTTAATACTGATAGGAAGCATTAGCATTTGCAATGCTGAGATTTTTACCTCTCGTTCAATTATCCAAAATACATTTAACTAATAGTAGTAGAGATGTATGAAAAGTAATGTGATGTAGACCACTGATCTATCCTTCAATAAATTATGATTTTGAGAAAAATTACAAAGGGTAACTTTGACAATGAAAAACAGTCGCTCTACATAAGCAAACTTAAGACTTTTTCTGTTAAGGAAAAAAATCTTCGTGTTGAACTCCACTACTAATTTCCAACATACAAAAAACCCCAAATCTAGAAAAAAAAAATTGCATAAAGCCAGAGTGCTGGTATAAAGAAAAATAAACATTAGCTTGGAACTCGTATCAAATATTTGCTGTAAATTAGATCAAACGTACACTGAGCGATGAGGGAAAACTGAAGGAGGGACTTCCTCTACTTCAGCAAGTGCAACTGAGGATGTCCCGAGTAGTAAGATAGGTAAGTCAAATGGCAATTCTTCTAGCAAAGTCAGGAGAACAGCTCTGAGTTGTTCATGAGCCTGCAAGATTATTAATCCAATCAAACTCAGGTTGCATTAAAGCAGCAATACAATAACAGGAAACCAGTCTGAATGAGATATAAATTTCAGACATACAAATCAGTTTATTTAGCATACAGGTGCAGATAATTAATATATGTACTCACAGTTTTCCACCAAACATCAAACTGTGGTAAATAGAGAATGGATGGAGTTGTTCTTCTAGCTTCACCAAATATATGTACCAATGCTTCTTCCGGTGTCTTTGCACTCGGATATGACAGAAGAGATGGAAGTCCTAATGAATGTACAGGATATTTTTTCAGTTCATGTAAAACCGCAGGGCCAAGATGATCCTGTTAAAGTAGAGCAGTAAGTATATTCAGTATTCAGTTGTTGAAATGAATTTTTTTCGATAAAGTTAAAAGGTTCCATGATAATTACCAGCCCTGTACCTTCACCACCACAAAGTAGAAGCCTAGGCCGATACACAAGTGGAATTGCAGACCCATAAGAAAGCATCGAAAGTTTGGTCAATTCTGATGCAACAGAAACTGGAGGGAAAATATCAGATATAATACTCATGGCTTTCTCTAGATGTCTCTGAAGACATGGTTGAACTACGAGAGACAATGGCCTAGAGTGCACAATAGCTCCCCTATGAGTATGAATGTCTAATATTTCAGCACGTGCCTCACAACCAGGCAAGGGAAAGTTAAATTCACGATCAAATCTACCAGGACGTCGCAAGGCTCCATCAATAGCATCAATCCTGTTGCTGCCACCTCGCCCCCATGGAATAGCAGGGCCTTGGTCCAGCTCATTCACAAGAAGGGAGTCATAAGAATCTTCAGGCCTTGTTATGCGATGACGCTTATGAACACGTGAACCACCCTTCCTTACATCCCTGCTGACTTTAGTTCCCATACCTTGATGTAACACTCTTCGAGGAGATCTTTGCCGGGCCTTCCCTTCCTCCATAGAGAACCTGCGGACATCTGAACGATTTCGAAGATCATAGCGCCTTCTTCCATCCTGCTCTTCTTCACCTTCTTCATCATCATCATCTTCATCACCTTCGTCCTCGCCTTCATCCTCACCCTCAGCGTCCACCTCAATCTCATTTTGATCATCATCTGCATCATTTTCCTCAACATCATTTTCATTTTCTGTTTCATCTTGTTCAACCTTCTCTTCTGAAAGCTCTTGCTCATCATCTGATTCTAAAATTAATCGTTCTCTTGCGCCAGCCTTTGAGCGACGTGGTCGTAGACCTTCACGCCGAGGTGTAGGTTTCTCCATTGCTCTTTTGCGTTTAGTAGACATCAAATCATCCTGGCTGACACTAATGCTAATCCGGTTTCTCAATGGTTGATATGCAGGTCTCTGAAACATGGCCACATACCTTCAGCTCAAATTACAGAGAATTCAGGCTTATCCCCCGAAATTTTATATTATAGTATAAAACCTCACCATTAAGTCTTCATCCTCAGCTCCAGAGCTGTCTGTAAGCCTTCTCTTCCTAGTTGAACGCCTAAGGTTGGCAGAGCCAGACTGCGAATACAAGCACGGATAAACAAACCAGGGATTTAAAATGTCCCATATAGTAAACCGAGAGAATTACTATCAAGCATTATTGTCTGATCAACTTAAGGAAATGAAATGATTCTAAGCAATAAGTGAAAGAAATACACACAGAATAGCAAGGTAAGCAGAACTAGCAAGGTAAGCACAACAATTGAGGATGGATAGCACACCTTCTGGGTTATCCGAAATTTTATATTATAGTATAAAACCTCACCATTAAGTCTTCATCCTCAGCTCCAAAGCTGTCTGTAAGCCTTCTCTTCCTAGTTGAACGCCTAAGGTTGGCAGAGCCAGACTGCGAATACAAGCACGGATAAACAAACCAGGGATTTAAAATGTCCCATATAGTAAACCGAGAGAATTACTATCAAGCATTATTGTCTAATCAACTTAAGGAAATGAAATGATTCTAAGCAATAAGTGAAAGAAATGCACACAGAATAGCAAGGTAAGGAAAATAATTAAATCCATCATTTCTTATTAAGCTCGCTCTCTTCACTCTTTTTAATAAATTATACTAATACATCAAAAACAATTAGTTGCATCAATCAGAGATGTGAACAGAGGACTAAACAAAGAAACCGGGAAAAAAAACTACTGTGTACAATCATATCCAGTAAAGCAGAGGTTAATGACCTTCGTGCACATCAGACAACATCTGTAACTTCATAATTTGGTTATGTGCATGATACACAATGTTAGTATCCAAAACAGATTTTGCAGCACGCTGAAGAGGTTAACGTTTTGCAAATATAAAGTATAAAACTAATTATTAATATTCACTGTTCTGGTAAAAAAACAAATATTTGCATGTGTAGATATAGTTCTTTTCAATACACACAGAAGCACACACAATCAACGACAATCTTAACTTACTCCACTAGGTGGGGTTGTACAAATTCTTTGAGTGGGATTTGAACCCAGTCAACGCACACCCTTTGGAACAGTACAAAGAAGGAAATAAATGACATACAACAGGGTCACAAAATAATAAAAGATGTTATTTTGTCTCCAAACTCTGAAAACACATAACACAAACATCAAGAGAAGAGAATGAGACCTATGAAGCCTACAAATCTGTAAGCAGATCATTTGTATTAATTCTATCAAGTACCATTGCCCAAATAAAAGTCTTGACATTAGAGTTTGAGGGAGCAATAATCTTTTAAAGAAAGAGGCAGATAGAGAAACATTTTGAATTGGAGGACAGAGAATCAAAAAAATGGAATAACGGTTTTACATATATAAGAAGCAGATAGATCCAAAGATCAAAGCCAACAGTCAAGCAAAGAAGAGCAATGCAAAGAATCAAAGCTGTCTAATAATAAATCAAGTTCATCAGCTCCTCAATCATTAGGGTTCCTAAAAAACAGGGGAAGCTTTAAGAAATATGGAAACCTAAGGTATACCAATGAGAAATAGGATCTCACAGCAAAATTGCAAGCCAGTACAGAAGCAGCAAAGATTAGAAATAGAAGGATTTTAAGATATAGTTCTTTCACGATTGCCTCAGCCTGCTTGTTATCCTTGGATGAAAAAAATCTTAAATTGACAAAAAGGAAAATAAATAAGTTTGAAAAAAAAAAGCATTCAATATTTGACCAATAAAAAATGTTATTAATAACTACATAGATATTCATATATCCACAAATTGACTTAGAGGCCAGAAAAAATTCATGACGCCAATGTCATGCCTGACAATCTGAGTGATTTATATACAGAACCCATGCAATTTAAACAATAAAATATCCATAGCAATTAGCAATTATGCTTCTAGAACTCATTTTAAATGCAGATACTTACATTAGTATTCAAATCTTGTCCTTTCCGATTCACTAGACGCAACATCTTGGCAATCTGTGAAGCTGCTGTCCTTGTCTTCATCTTGCTTTTCCTGGTGCGCCTAAGATTTAAGTTGTAAGACATGAATGGTCGGCCATAAATGTTTGGCCTTGACTTGATCCTATCACTTGTGTGCACCTGCCCGGAAACAGGGCCATCTTGGCCAGACCGTTTTGGATACATGGAAGAATGGTAACTTTTGTGATTAAAAAACAAAAATTATGTGATCAGCATATCTCAGTCAGCTACACCTGCAGAAATCAGCAGCATCTACAAAACTTAAAATTTTCACAAGATACAGATGTACAGAAAAATATCACAAGCTTAACCAAAAACACCAAGCCAAGGATATAATATATTTCACAGCAAGCTCATGCTTACCGGTATAAGAAACACAAATAGGAAAGTTGCTTTTGAATATATTCTTCTTAGCTAAAGCATATTGATGAATTAAGAATTGAACAGTTAAAGGACTTCAAGAAACAATCAAGTACTTCTTGACTAAACCTTTTGAAACTTATACTAATTAAAGAAACAATAACAACAACAACAAAAGCCTTTTCCTCCTTACAGGTGTAGAATTTCAAATATTTGTCCAACAAACATGACATATTCATGTTCTATGGAACTTTGAGAAACCAAAAGTATGTTCAAGATTATTTCGGTACTAAAACTAGATAATCATGAAATTAAAAAATTAATTTCATATTTTTATTTCATCAACACATAATGTTTGCTTGCCATTATAAGGGGTGCAACAAAAACCAGGAATACCTATACTCAAATTGATGTGCAACATTCAACATAGCTGCAAGTGACAGATTCTAACATCTAAGCCTCAAACTAACCTAGAGTCAAACAGCACATTTATCAACATAAAATAAAAAAAATAGAGGTCTAGCCTAACCAAACCAATTCACTCTTCAACATTTCTCCTCTACTATTCTCTCTTCTTAGTTCAAAAACTTAGTTTAATTATTTTATATTCTTCTGATTACCAACCGGTTCTCTGCCCCAAATTACTCTTTTCTTCTAGAAGTTAGCGAAAACGGAGACCAGGTAGTCCTAATCCCTAGGTGGTTGTAGATTTGTTGTGTATGAAATTTTATTGGGAGTGTCCTAATCTTTAGGTAGTTATATGTTCGATATATGTAATCCTAATCCCTAGAGAGTTATAGATTATATTGATATGAATTTTGGTATATGTAATCCTATTCGTATGTTATTTCTTTTATATAAAACTTGGATGTAATCCTAATCCCTAGGTGTTTAGGTTATCTCTATTATATGAAATTTGGGCATAATCCTTATATGTAATCCGTAGATGTTCTTAATAGTTTGGTATGAACATTTCTATATATGTAGGTATTTGTTTTTTTTAAATTTAAATTACTACTTATGATATGTAACACCCCAAATTCTAACAATTTATAATAGCATAAATAAATTCAATAATTTTATAAATAACAGCGGAAGTTCAAAATAATCAAATTTGGGAAGTGTTACCGCCGCACTTGTACAGGGACAAGTGCAAGGCTAACTCTACTACATTCAAATAAAAATCTAAGACTACAGTTTTTTTTTTTTTTTTACATAATATTTATGACAGCTAGAAATATCCGAGTCGTGATCCTCACTGCCCACAGCTAGCCCCATCCTTTGCAACATGCTTCACTGAAAATCTGCTCCCCCGCAGCCGCAGGATCATTGCAGTCAAACAAACACAAAAGTCAGCAAAGCTGGTAATCCCAATCAAGATACAAACCGAGGATAATATAACCCAATATCAATCAAGACATTTATTTAAGAATAATCAACATAATCAACTCAATTAATATTTCGAATATGTCATTTATTCATAACTCAAGCAATATTCAAATAAGTCATTTAATCATAACTCAAATCAAGTATTAATATCATTATTAATCATGTTTAAGATTATTTAGTCCATTTAGTGTATAAGGGTAATTGTCAACTAACATATTTAGCACAACATTAATCATAATATGATAATATTCACAACTCAATGACATTCTTCATAATCAAATCAAATAACAATTTTCATTAATAATGTTTAAGTTCATTATATTTAGTGGGAAGAGAACCATGGTAGACCCGGGAAACCCTGCCAGTGTACCTCGTGACCCGGGAAAAAACCACTGTTACCAGCCACGTATAATCAAAATTGGCCATAATCAATTCACATCTTCCTAGTGTGCACACCTCTTCCCAAAGTTGCTACTAGTATCCCGGGAAAAAACCACTGTTACCAGATACCACTTTGGGAAGAACGGATACAATCTTTTTCACATCAGTTTCACATCGGAGGCATAAAGCCCAAAAGTTGTGTTCATCACTTTGGAAGGTACCATCCCAAAGCTATCCTCCCACCATTAATTTATTACAAACACACACAATCAGGAAAGATTCAATCATAATTATTTATTCTTTAAGTATTATCATCTCTAAATGAGTTACTCAAGGGCATTATAATTTTCCAAAGTATCATAATTCAAACAACTATTATCATAAATTTTTGAATTTATATAACAATTCAAATCTTCAACATTCATCATAGTAAAATCCAAATCCGATCATCATCATAACTTTCCAATTTATTCAAGGATATAATAATTCAAATCTTCAACGTTCATCACAGTAAAATCCAAATCCGATCCTCATCATAACTTTCAAATTTATTCAAGGATATAATAATTCAAATCTTCAACGTTCATCTCAGTAAAATCCAAATCCGATCCTCATCATAACTTTCAAATTTATTCAAGGATATAATAATTCAAATCTGCAACATTCATCATAGAAAAATTCTAATCCAATCATCGTCATTCAAATAATCCCATCACATCAATTATCATAGTTATAAATATTCAAATTCAATCATTAAAACACATATTTGGAAAGTTTTTCTTAAAGAGTATTATAATTCCATAATTTTCATAATTATTCAATAAGATCCATATATTGCACCTGAATTAAATCTTATACCATACATTGCACATAATTATAATTTCTAAAATAATAACATTTTATATCATATATTGCACATAATCATAATTTCTAAAATAAAAGTTTATATAATATATTGCAAGCTTATTCGGAATTCAACCCACTAGGGCTAGCCTAGTGGTGGTGGGGTGTGTAGTGTTTAGTGGGTGTGTGTGTTGCAGTTCGATTCCCATGTACTTCAAAAAAAAGCTTATTCGGAATTCTCTTTCATTCTAAGGAATAACTTGTATCCATATTCTAATTATCATATGTAGTAATTTACATTTAAAAAAAGAACAAATACCTATATATATAGAAATGTTCATACCAAACTATTAAGAACATCTACGGATTACATATAAGGATCATGCCCAAATTTCATATAATACAGATAACCTACAAACATCTAGGGATTAGGATTACTATCAATAAACTTCAAACAAAATTATAACCTAAGGATTAGGATTACACATACCAAATTTCACATAAAATAAATATAATCTAAAAATACCTAAGGATTAGGATTACACATATCAAGATTCATATCAAAATTAATATCAATATAACCTATGACTCTCTAGGGATTAGGATTACCTGGTCTCCGTTTTTGCTAACTTCTAGAAGAGAATAAATTGGGGCAGAGAACCGGTTGGTAACCAAAAGAATATAGAAAATAAAACAAATAAACTTTTGAAGTAAGGAGAGAGAGTAGTAGACGAGAAATGTTGGAGAGTGAATTAGTTTGTTTAGGCTAGGCCTCTATTTATAGTTGAAGTTTTGGGCTCGGATATGGGTTTCGTGCATTTATTTCCTTTTTTCTTTATTGATTTATCTGACTCAGATATGGGCTTCATACACTATTTTATTATTAATTTCTTATGGCTCAGATTACAGCTAACTTATTTGCTGACTCATTATTGACTCATCATATCTAGTCAAATTACCAATCAACATTACCAATCAATCATTACCAATCGAACATTACCAATCAATCATTACCAATCGAACATTACCAATCGAACATTATCAATCAATCATTATTAATCAATCATTATTAATCAAACATAAATACATAAATCATCAATCAATTAATAAATCAATTAATCATAATTTATCATAATATATATATATATATATATATATATATAATTATATATTATCACATAAATCAAATAATATTACTATTATTATCTTACATCTTATTATTTTAACTATTATTAACTCATTAATTAAAAATATTAAATACCAATATTATTAATTACAAAAATACTAAATATCATTATTATCCAAAAATATTTATTAATATATTATTATTATTATTATTATTTTATTTAAAGAAAATATGGGGTATTACATGATAATTAGGATATTTTTGGAAAAATTTTATTATTTCAGAAATTATGATTATGTGCAATGTATGATATAAGATTTAATTCATGTGCAATATATGGATCTTATTGAATAATTATGAAAATTATGGAATTATACTACTCTTTAAGAAAAACTTTCCAAATATGTGTTTTAATGATTGAATTTAAATATTTATATTATTAATAACTATGATAATTGATGTGATGGGATTATTTGAATGACGATGATTGGATTTGGATTTTTCTATGATGAAAGTTGAAGATTTGAATTATTATATCCTTGAATAAATTGGAAAGTTATGATGAGGATCAGATTTGGATTTTACTGTGATGAATGTTGAAGATTTGAATTATCATATCCTTGAATAAATTGGTAAGTTATGATGATGATCGGATTTGGATTTTACTGTGATGACTGTTGAAGATTTGAATTATCATATCCTTGAATAAATTGGAAAGTTATTATGATGATCGGATTTGGATTTTACTATGATGGATGTTGAAGATTTGAATTGTTATATAAATTCGAGAATTTATGATAATAGTTGTTTGAATTATGATACTTTGGAAAATTATAATGCCCTTGAGTAACTCATTTAGAGATGATAATACTTAAAGAATAAATAATTATGGTTGAATCTTTCCTGATTGTGTGTGTTTGTAATAAATTAATGGTGGGAGGATAGCTTTGGGATGGTACCTCCCAAGGTGATGAACACAACTTTTGGGCTTTATGCCTCCGATGTGAAACTGATGTGAAAAAGATTATATCCGTTCTTTCCAAAGTGGTGTCTGGCAGGGTTTCCCGGGATACTAGTAGCAACTTTGAGAAGAGGTGTGTACACTAGGAAGATGTGAATTGATTATGGCCAATGTGATTTGTTTGTGACTGGCAGGGTTTCCCGGGTCACATGGTAGACTGGCAGGGTTTCCCGGGTCTACCATGGTTCTCTTCCCACTAAATATAATGAACTTAAACATTATTATTAATGAAATTTGTTATTTGATTTGATTATGAAGAATGTCATTGAGTTGTGAATATTATCATATTATGATTAATGTTGTGCTAAATATGTTAGTTGATAATTACCAAATACATTAAATGAACTTAATAACGATAAATATTATATAATGAAATTTTGATTATTATATTGATATTTGATTTGATTAATGTGGAATTGATTTGAACACTATTTGATATTTGATTTAATTTGTTATTAATTACATTAATTGTATTTTGATTAGGATTACCAGCTTTGCTCACTTTTGTGTTTGTTTGACTGCAATGATCCTGCGGCTGCGGGGGAGCAGATTTTCAGTGAAGCATGTTGCAAAGGATGGGGCTAACTGTGGACAGTGAGGATCACGACTCGGATATTTCAGCTAGTTTCTAAGTTTAGAAATTTATGAGATTTAAATAAATGCATAAGACATATTTCCTTTATTTAAACTTTAGTCTTTGGTTTTATTTTAATCTAATAGAGTTAGCCTTGCACTTGTCCCTGTACAGGTGCGGCAGTAACACTTCCCAAATTCGATTATTTTGAACTTCCGCTGTTATTTATAAATTATTGAATTTATTTATGCTATTATAAATTGTTAGAATTTGGGGTGTTACAAAATGGTATCAGAGCTCCTGGTTCGGCTTGGGGTTTGCTTTTGATACTGACTCGAGGGATCAAAGATCCTTGACTAGAATAAATACATAAATAAATAAAAATTAGGAAATAAAATAATGAAACATAAGATAAATAAATAAATCGAGAGAGGTGGGTATTGAAGGGTTATTTTTCTTGTCCTTTAAATATGATCTATTTCTTCGGAATTTTGATGATTATATGTTTGGAATTATTTTGTGATTTAAAATTATTATTGATATTATTCTTTAAAAATTTTATATGCTATCTTTAGTAACTCGTTCTTATTTTAATAAAAGTAATTAGCTTTCTTTTAGAGTTGTTCTTGAATTGATTAAAAATTTTCTAGCAAATGAAAGATAATATATGCAATAAAAATTTCTATTTGTTTAAAGAAGATATTCAGTTTCGAAACTTTTTTCTAGCTTGGTTAAAGTTAAAAATTCATTAATTTGTAGTTTTTTTAAAAAAGTTATGCATGACTCTTTGTTGTTTGCTTACTTTTTTCAAGTGGGTTTCAAAAAAAAAAAAAAAAAAAGTTTCAAGGACAAAACTTCTTTTAAGGAGGGTAGAATGTAATACCCCATATTTTTATTAACTTTAACCTTATGCCTTTAAGTTAATTTGAGGAGCTCAAACTTCTAAGTTTCGAGGACGAAACTTTTTTTAAGGAGGGTAGAATGTAATACCCCATATTTTCTTTTAATAAAATAATAATAATAATAATATAATAATAAATATATTATTTGCATATATCTTAGACTTAGTTACTTCGTTCAGGCCCTTCAGCAGCGCGAGATAGAGGATGAGATTGCTATTTGTGATGAAAAAATTCGGAGAATGTTAGTTGGTATGTTTTCCATCCACTGTGTGTTTTATTTTTTATTTTTTTTCTCTGGTGCATTCTTCTATCAGTTTGACTTTTTCCTTCTTTTTTTCTCTCTTTATTGTGTTTGTTTCTTGGGATGTCCCCCCGCGGTACTGAGAATTGTCCAGGTTTTCCATCCACTGTGTGTTTTATTTTTTATTTTTTTTCTCTGGTGCATTCTTCTATCAGTTTGACTTTTTCCTTCTTTTTTTCTCTCTTTATTGTGTTTGTTTCTTGGGGTTCTAATGAATTCAACTAGCATAAATTTTTTTATAGGGAATGAGTGGTGTCAGAATTTGATCAATTTGACAAGCATGTAACTTTAAAATCCTGATATTATAAATTCAACAAGCATATTAGATGCAAGAAGCAATTTATTGATAGTGTTTATCCTTGAATTTGAATTCCATTCGATTTATGTTTGGTTATCTGACTTATGAAGATCATCTCAAACTTAATCTAACCGTAAACTGAGGCTCTTCTTTGAAGATCTTGGATTTGCTATTTGAAAATTATGTATTTATGATTGCCACTCGCCAGCTCTTTTACCTTTGCATCAGAAGATTCACAACTGCATAGCACTAGTTATATGCTATCTTTTCAATCCTACAATGTACAATCCTGGCGAGTTTTTGCTACTAGGCTTAGAGCCTGAGACAATAATTGACTTACGTAAAGTGTGATTTATCCCTTTCTTGTTTAGTCTTTGTCCAAGTGAAATATGAACAACCATTGATTTTATTTTTGTGTCATGACAAAAGTAGATGGGGAAGATGACTATGAATTAATGGTAGAATCCATTATAGAAGGTTGTAATGATATATGGTTAAGGAATCAAGAAAGGACATGTGGACAACAAAGCGTATCTTTTAAGAGGAAAAAATTGTCAGAGGCTGTCTTTATCTTGCAAAATCCATGCCAGGCAAGACATGTTCTGTTTACTTACTAGTTTTTACATTTGAATTTTTTTTATGACTACGCTAAACTTGAAAATATGTTTTGTTGGGTTATTTATCAATATAATAGGTATATATTGGTGTTTGTAGTTATGGTGCATTGAAGCCATCACTAAGTAATTTTAGGCATTTGATACCAAAGGAGAAAATAGTTTACCACATATACGATGCTTTATTATTCTCTTTAGTGCTGTGCACACAATATCAAATGGTTGTTGCTAATTTCTTGGAAGCATTGTATTGGGTATATTATTCTCTTTTGTTGCTAATTTCTGGCACAGACATGAATATATGATTCAATACTGATACGAGAATACAGTGATTTAAAAACTATTTGTATTGGGTGGTTTCGTCCTTACAGCTGGACACATTTTTACTGTACAACGAAAACTAAGTTATGGTGGAGTATGGAGAGGTTATTAATCCATGCAAGTCTCCAAATATATTATACCCAAATAGGAGTAAAGCTTGGCAGAGAGGTTGGCGTTGTTTAATTATTGAGAGCGATTCCACTTCGGTGGTTGCTTTGCTCACCAAATGTGGTGATGCAACTCGCGGGTCTTGTCTGGTGACTCAGATACGAGCACTTCTTAATCCCGACTGGCAGGTTTTGGTTGTACATGCATTTAGAGAAGCCAACAGCTTTACTGATTTTTTAGCTAACTTTCCCCTCAATAATTCTGGATTACCAGATAATGTTATCTTCGACGAGCCTCCTGGTTCGTTGAAGCTTCTTCTCCGGGCGACATGATGGACATTTCTCATCTTTGGTCATCTTTGGAGAGGAAAGGGCTAATCTTTTTATTTTTATGTCTTAATTTCTGTCTGTTTCTGCTGTTTCTATTCTTGTATCAAAAAAAAAAAGAATGCAGTGTGGGATCTTAACCTTTTTCAGTTTGTGTTGTATACATCTTTGGCAAGCCCCATTTGACATATTAGTTACCTATCTCTGTTCTGTGATATATTCTTTTCTTCTATATATATATATATATATATATATATATATATATATATATATATATATATACAGGCAAAATGATTTCTGCAGCTGCTGTACCTACAGCAAGCAAGGATCCGCGTCCGGATCCTAGGATACGGCATCGGATCCTGAGTTTTTTTTTTTTTTTTTAAAAAGCCGTGGGGCCCACTTTTTTGCTTCAGCTGTAGATAACACTATCTACGGCAGCTGCAGAAATGTTAAGCCATATATATATATATATATATATATATATATATATATATATATATATATATATATATATATATATATATATATAGGGTCAGGATCATTTTACACGTGTAAGTTACACTCTTAATCTTGTCCGTTGATCTCACTTATATCTAAGGGTTCAAATTTTTTAATGATGTGAACCATTGGATACAAGTGGATCAATGGTCAAGATTGAGTGTAAAACTTCTAACTCTTACACCAGTATAAGAATATCGGTCCCATATATATATATATATATATATATATATATATATATATATATATATATATATATTTGGGAGTGATCTATTGTCTTAAGAAACATACTAGAATATAACTTATTAATTAGCAGCACATACCAACCATCCCGTTTATCTTCATTAAAAACAAGTACTTCTTAAATTCTGTTAATCGTGCAGGAACTAGATGGTGTATGTCATGAAAACAACTGGGTCCTACCAACTTATCATCTATCTCAATCAGATGGTAAGAGTATCTAATCTAGAAGTTGAATCCATCAGCGGCATAATTCTTCTCATGAATTGAGTAATGCACAATTAACAGTATACCTTTTTAATTAAATTTAATGAGATACAATTGAGATTTTATCATTTCACATATCAGTGTACTTTTTTTGTTCACCTTATGATACTTATTAACAAGTGTTCCATTTGAAGGTGGATTCCAAGCTAATGTAACTGTTAAAGGAGTGGAGTTTGAGTGTTCATGTGGGGGTAAGGTGTGTTCCAATCCCCGTGAAGCAAGAGAATCATCTGCTGCTCAGATGTTGACTAACTTAAGAAGTATGCCAAAATAAGCACAATAGTGTTGGAAGCATAGAAATTGCATGCTTCAATGCTTCCCTTTTGGTTCCTAGTTTTCTCTTGTACAATAACAATGTGAAGAAAACTGCACTGTTCATATGGTTGTATTGGAATCAACACCCGGATGTGTGTGAATTGTGAAACAGGGATTTTCAATTAATGTTTGACATGTGAGCTAATTGTTTGCCACCATGCTAAAACTCAGCAAGAATTTACCAAAGAAATATAAAAAATACCAATTCCAATTAATCTAAATAAATATTTAATGTTTTGAGTGTCACATGGAATAGTTCTTGCACACACAACATATCCCACGTGCAAAATTTCCTGATATTGGTATTTTTTTTCTTCTAATTTTTTATTAAAAAAGAATTTGTTATTTTTTATTTTGGTAGTCCTTAAACTCACCTAATGTAGTTTAGATGGGATTAATGCCCGTTCTTTACAGCTAATCGACCAAATTAGCAATAGTCAATAAATCACCCATATACTTGGTGAAAAGGGGGTAAACAATTTATTGTCCAAAAATTATAATAAAAGACCAACGTATAATAAATAATCCTACAGTGTCATTATTCAATACAAATTTAGAATTTTGTTACTGATGAATGCAAGTGAATAAAAGGAGTTATTGAAAAAAAGAAAAAAAGTTAGCATCGATATCTATCGAAAGTTCTCAAATATTCATTACATATTGATTTTGTAGTAAATGTCTATATACTATTATTAATAAAAAAAATTCTTGATAAGCATTACGTTTTATCCAAGACAAAAAAATGAGTACTAGATTAATATCAATGAATGAAGAATAAATCTTATTTGTGTAGTTTTAAGATTATAAAATTTAACAATTACACCACCAAAGAATCCACACCACTGTCACTCATTCCTTATTTATGAGCGGCATCATTCGTGTCAGTGATAAAAAGTAGAATTTTATTTAAATGATTACAATAAAACCTTCGAATTCTTTCGTTTTTTTTTTTGGTCAAATAAATTGTCGTTTAATATTTGACAAATTAAAATACTTATTAAATAATTTTATTTATATTACCTTCTTACTCTATTAATGCTTTTTCATTTCACTTTTCCCAAATTAGAACCTCTGGAAGTTATAATTATTTTGAAATAAATGGAATAATTGGCATTTAAAAAAATGAGCGATATGCTAGTGAACATAAAAATATTTACTTTACAGTAGGACATGGTAGTTAGTAGTTGAGAGCAATAAAAAAAGTTAGCTCACTCTGGCTAACATTTTCAAGCTCTAGGCTTTCGCAAGTCTGCAGAGACATCTAATCCTAAAATCCTGTAATTACAATCTTCTGTAATTACAATCTTCCCGACTTTACAGTAAAAATCTTTCCTTTACCTAAATCATCAAGGGAGAAAGGGAAAACCGATTAGTCGGAAATTTGCATCATCCTCTACAAAATTCAATAAAAACACCCAAACCGAAGTCTTGATATCATCATTCGTTACTTTATCTTTGGTTTCAAAAACGCCCTTCATAATTCTCGTGTAAAGCCTTTCAAGTTGTGGAATGCTGTAATTTTCAATACGCTTGACAAAAAGCTGCTTGACAAAAAGCTGCTTGACAGACTCCTCTTGTATTGAAAAGTCACCATCTAGCATTGCGACATCATCAAAACTGCTGCTATCAGCAAGGCTATTTGTACAAGTTCCCTGCACATTTGCATCAATTGACATTGGGTCCAGCCTTTCAGAATTTACGTCATTTGCGTGATGCTCCTGGGAAGACTTTGATGGTACAGAATCTTGTGACTTGTCTTCTGCTATAAAACCCAATTGAAAAAAAAAAAAAAAAAAAAAAAAACTTCAAAATCAGCATTTTAACAGGAAGTTTACAGGAAGAATGAAAAAAGTGAACAAGAAATTAATCATTGGAAATCAAGTAACACCAATATCATTTTGTTTATAAGCATAATCAATCATATAAAAACAAGTGCATGACAAGCAACAACTTGAAGAAGTATAGAGAGAATCCACAATTCTTAAAGATGCCTCTCTAAGTCAACACTATCATGCCTCACCCATGCTTAAGACCAAAAGAACGGTTCTGGTCAAAATATTCACACTTCCATCTTCGTTATTGCTTTTCTTAATTAGTATAACTTCCTAATGTTTCAGAATCACGATAGCAAAACAGCAATACTAGTATGTATAAATGACATTTAAAGAAACCATTTGTATTACAACCGTCATACATTTGAGAAATAATTCATACTGCAAAGGCATTTTATACCTGCATGCACAACATCCGTGATCTTCTTATTCCGCTTCAATACGTCATAACTCTGGTCCATATTAACCTCAGGTTGGACATGGCGAAGTCGAGCACTCGTTCTAGTAGCAGTACCCAGCTGTACAACAGGAGTAGCAGGGAAGGTAGAATACCCTAATTCATCAGGAAGATGAAGTGGGCCACCTTGGCTAGCAATCTTGTCACAGTATGCAACTAGTGCTGGATCCATCTGTGAAAGCATCCCATGCACCTGAAAAAAAAAACAAGGAATAAGATCAGGAGCAATTTCCAGACAATAATCATAAAAAACACCAACGTAAACCTTAAGACAAAAGAAAGTCCACACACCGCATCGCGAAGCTCACAAGCTCTACTGACAATCCTGGTGCCATTGTAGTCCTCTCCATTGTAAGCCTGAGTTGTGGAAAGAAGGATCAAACTTGCGACATGCTTTAAATATTAAAAGTAATATGAAGCATTTTCAACCAATTTAGCTCAGCCCTAATTGTACTTGGTTACAGAACGATCATCTATACATATATAGGACCCAACCCAAGCAAAATTTAAAAAACTTAAGGCGCAGGATGCATGCCTTTGCATTGGAAACAATAAGATCAATGTCCTGCAGGAACGCAACACATGAAATATAATGCCCGTTGTCAACATGCTGCAGGATGGTAGCCACGTCCATTGGGTTCTGTATGATTGAGCGATAATTAGGTGCGTCTTCATCTGAGATTGGAAAATGGAAGGCATTAAATCGCTTGTCATACAATATCCTGCAAAAGGGAAACAAAAAATATATTGAGAGGGGGGAGAGAGAGGCTGCATGCATTTAATTAAAGGTGTATGTCAAGAACCAACTCTTCCAAAAGCTTTTATTAGGTGAAAACACATGAATGATTTTATATTATATTTCTAACATGTCCCATCACGCAACAGTCCTTTGAGCTTGAAGATGGACAACACACATATCCACCTATCTTGTGCTAAGAAATTTAACAATATTTATAAGTAAAATGAGACAGCAAGGATTGAACTCTAAATCATTTGATCATAAGAGGCTCTAATACCATGTCAATAGCCAACTCTCCCAAAAACTTAAGCTATTAGATGAAGACACATAAATGATTTTATATTATATTTCTAACAGTATCAATGTGCCAAGCGAAGCCAACAATTGTAAATTAAGCATAGGTTGACATACCAATTGCAAACATCTCTAAGGCACATTCGCAATCTCCGAAGTGCATGTTGCTCTGCTTCCACCTTTGCTTTTAGCTCAGATACCTTCGGACCACTAGCCAATTTTGGTGCCTGGGGAAGTTCAGGAAGGCATCCTGTATCCTGGGATTTCTTGCTGATTCCCTCCAACAATACTGACATAGCAGCTTCTATTAAATGATTGAAAAACAAATTCCTATCTTTCGTAGATGGCATGCTCACTTGATAACTGTTCAAAAGGGAAATAGAGGGTGAGCATATAACCAGAAACAAGAGCCCAGGCGTGAGGAATACTTTTCAGATTTGAATAAGAATACTCAACTAACATTCTTAGAAATTTTCAGCCTTAGCCTTTGAACTACAGTTATTCAAATACTTGTAAGAATAAGCAACAATAGAAACTTTGGTAAAAAGAAAGGGCACTTAATACTGATAGGAAGCATTAGCATTTGCAATGCTGAGATTTTTACCTCTCGTTCAATTATCCAAAATACATTTAACTAATAGTAGTAGAGATGTATGAAAAGTAATGTGATGTAGACCACTGATCTATCCTTCAATAAATTATGATTTTGAGAAAAATTACAAAGGGTAACTTTGACAATGAAAAACAGTCGCTCTACATAAGCAAACTTAAGACTTTTTCTGTTAAGGAAAAAAATCTTCGTGTTGAACTCCACTACTAATTTCCAACATACAAAAAACCCCAAATCTAGAAAAAAAAAATTGCATAAAGCCAGAGTGCTGGTATAAAGAAAAATAAACATTAGCTTGGAACTCGTATCAAATATTTGCTGTAAATTAGATCAAACGTACACTGAGCGATGAGGGAAAACTGAAGGAGGGACTTCCTCTACTTCAGCAAGTGCAACTGAGGATGTCCCGAGTAGTAAGATAGGTAAGTCAAATGGCAATTCTTCTAGCAAAGTCAGGAGAACAGCTCTGAGTTGTTCATGAGCCTGCAAGATTATTAATCCAATCAAACTCAGGTTGCATTAAAGCAGCAATACAATAACAGGAAACCAGTCTGAATGAGATATAAATTTCAGACATACAAATCAGTTTATTTAGCATACAGGTGCAGATAATTAATATATGTACTCACAGTTTTCCACCAAACATCAAACTGTGGTAAATAGAGAATGGATGGAGTTGTTCTTCTAGCTTCACCAAATATATGTACCAATGCTTCTTCCGGTGTCTTTGCACTCGGATATGACAGAAGAGATGGAAGTCCTAATGAATGTACAGGATATTTTTTCAGTTCATGTAAAATCGCAGGGCCAAGATGATCCTGTTAAAGTAGAGCAGTAAGTATATTCAGTATTCAGTTGTTGAAATGAATTTTTTTCGATAAAGTTAAAAGGTTCCATGATAATTACCAGCCCTGTACCTTCACCACCACAAAGTAGAAGCCTAGGCCGATACACAAGTGGAATTGCAGACCCATAAGAAAGCATCGAAAGTTTGGTCAATTCTGATGCAACAGAAACTGGAGGGAAAATATCAGATATAATACTCATGGCTTTCTCTAGATGTCTCTGAAGACATGGTTGAACTACGAGAGACAATGGCCTAGAGTGCACAATAGCTCCCCTATGAGTATGAATGTCTAATATTTCAGCACGTGCCTCACAACCAGGCAAGGGAAAGTTAAATTCACGATCAAATCTACCAGGACGTCGCAAGGCTCCATCAATAGCATCAATCCTGTTGCTGCCACCTCGCCCCCATGGAATAGCAGGGCCTTGGTCCAGCTCATTCACAAGAAGGGAGTCATAAGAATCTTCAGGCCTTGTTATGCGATGACGCTTATGAACACGTGAACCACCCTTCCTTACATCCCTGCTGACTTTAGTTCCCATACCTTGATGTAACACTCTTCGAGGAGATCTTTGCCGGGCCTTCCCTTCCTCCATAGAGAACCTGCGGACATCTGAACGATTTCGAAGATCATAGCGCCTTCTTCCATCCTGCTCTTCTTCACCTTCTTCATCATCATCATCTTCATCACCTTCGTCCTCGCCTTCATCCTCACCCTCAGCGTCCACCTCAATCTCATTTTGATCATCATCTGCATCATTTTCCTCAACATCATTTTCATTTTCTGTTTCATCTTGTTCAACCTTCTCTTCTGAAAGCTCTTGCTCATCATCTGATTCTAAAATTAATCGTTCTCTTGCGCCAGCCTTTGAGCGACGTGGTCGTAGACCTTCACGCCGAGGTGTAGGTTTCTCCATTGCTCTTTTGCGTTTAGTAGACATCAAATCATCCCGGCTGACACTAATGCTAATCCGGTTTCTCAATGGTTGATATGCAGGTCTCTGAAACATGGCCACATACCTTCAGCTCAAATTACAGAGAATTCAGGCTTATCCCCCGAAATTTTATATTATAGTATAAAACCTCACCATTAAGTCTTCATCCTCAGCTCCAGAGCTGTCTGTAAGCCTTCTCTTCCTAGTTGAACGCCTAAGGTTGGCAGAGCCAGACTGCGAATACAAGCACGGATAAACAAACCAGGGATTTAAAATGTCCCATATAGTAAACCGAGAGAATTACTATCAAGCATTATTGTCTGATCAACTTAAGGAAATGAAATGATTCTAAGCAATAAGTGAAAGAAATACACACAGAATAGCAAGGTAAGCAGAACTAGCAAGGTAAGCACAACAATTGAGGATGGATAGCACACCTTCTGGGTTATCCGAAATTTTATATTATAGTATAAAACCTCACCATTAAGTCTTCATCCTCAGCTCCAAAGCTGTCTGTAAGCCTTCTCTTCCTAGTTGAACGCCTAAGGTTGGCAGAGCCAGACTGCGAATACAAGCACGGATAAACAAACCAGGGATTTAAAATGTCCCATATAGTAAACCGAGAGAATTACTATCAAGCATTATTGTCTAATCAACTTAAGGAAATGAAATGATTCTAAGCAATAAGTGAAAGAAATGCACACAGAATAGCAAGGTAAGGAAAATAATTAAATCCATCATTTCTTATTAAGCTCGCTCTCTTCACTCTTTTTAATAAATTATACTAATACATCAAAAACAATTAGTTGCATCAATCAGAGATGTGAACAGAGGACTAAACAAAGAAACCGGGAAAAAAAACTACTGTGTACAATCATATCCAGTAAAGCAGAGGTTAATGACCTTCGTGCACATCAGACAACATCTGTAACTTCATAATTTGGTTATGTGCATGATACACAATGTTAGTATCCAAAACAGATTTTGCAGCACGCTGAAGAGGTTAACGTTTTGCAAATATAAAGTATAAAACTAATTATTAATATTCACTGTTCTGGTAAAAAAACAAATATTTGCATGTGTAGATATAGTTCTTTTCAATACACACAGAAGCACACACAATCAACGACAATCTTAACTTACTCCACTAGGTGGGGTTGTACAAATTCTTTGAGTGGGATTTGAACCCAGTCAACGCACACCCTTTGGAACAGTACAAAGAAGGAAATAAATGACATACAACAGGGTCACAAAATAATAAAAGATGTTATTTTGTCTCCAAACTCTGAAAACACATAACACAAACATCAAGAGAAGAGAATGAGACCTATGAAGCCTACAAATCTGTAAGCAGATCATTTGTATTAATTCTATCAAGTACCATTGCCCAAATAAAAGTCTTGACATTAGAGTTTGAGGGAGCAATAATCTTTTAAAGAAAGAGGCAGATAGAGAAACATTTTGAATTGGAGGACAGAGAATCAAAAAAATGGAATAACGGTTTTACATATATAAGAAGCAGATAGATCCAAAGATCAAAGCCAACAGTCAAGCAAAGAAGAGCAATGCAAAGAATCAAAGCTGTCTAATAATAAATCAAGTTCATCAGCTCCTCAATCATTAGGGTTCCTAAAAAACAGGGGAAGCTTTAAGAAATATGGAAACCTAAGGTATACCAATGAGAAATAGGATCTCACAGCAAAATTGCAAGCCAGTACAGAAGCAGCAAAGATTAGAAATAGAAGGATTTTAAGATATAGTTCTTTCACGATTGCCTCAGCCTGCTTGTTATCCTTGGATGAAAAAAATCTTAAATTGACAAAAAGGAAAATAAATAAGTTTGAAAAAAAAAAGCATTCAATATTTGACCAATAAAAAATGTTATTAATAACTACATAGATATTCATATATCCCATAGCAATTAGCAATTATGCTTCTAGAACTCATTTTAAATGCAGATACTTACATTAGTATTCAAATCTTGTCCTTTCCGATTCACTAGACGCAACATCTTGGCAATCTGTGAAGCTGCTGTCCTTGTCTTCATCTTGCTTTTCCTGGTGCGCCTAAGATTTAAGTTGTAAGACATGAATGGTCGGCCATAAATGTTTGGCCTTGACTTGATCCTATCACTTGTGTGCACCTGCCCGGAAACAGGGCCATCTTGGCCAGACCGTTTTGGATACATGGAAGAATGGTAACTTTTGTGATTAAAAAACAAAAATTATGTGATCAGCATATCTCAGTCAGCTACACCTGCAGAAATCAGCAGCATCTACAAAACTTAAAATTTTCACAAGATACAGATGTACAGAAAAATATCACAAGCTTAACCAAAAACACCAAGCCAAGGATATAATATATTTCACAGCAAGCTCATGCTTACCGGTATAAGAAACACAAATAGGAAAGTTGCTTTTGAATATATTCTTCTTAGCTAAAGCATATTGATGAATTAAGAATTGAACAGTTAAAGGACTTCAAGAAACAATCAAGTACTTCTTGACTAAACCTTTTGAAACTTATACTAATTAAAGAAACAATAACAACAACAACAAAAGCCTTTTCCTCCTTACAGGTGTAGAATTTCAAATATTTGTCCAACAAACATGACATATTCATGTTCTATGGAACTTTGAGAAACCAAAAGTATGTTCAAGATTATTTCGGTACTAAAACTAGATAATCATGAAATTAAAAAATTAATTTCATATTTTTATTTCATCAACACATAATGTTTGCTTGCCATTATAAGGGGTGCAACAAAAACCAGGAATACCTATACTCAAATTGATGTGCAACATTCAACATAGCTGCAAGTGACAGATTCTAACATCTAAGCCTCAAACTAACCTAGAGTCAAACAGCACATTTATCAACATAAAATAAAAAAAATAGAGGTCTAGCCTAACCAAACCAATTCACTCTTCAACATTTCTCCTCTACTATTCTCTCTTCTTAGTTCAAAAACTTAGTTTAATTATTTTATATTCTTCTGATTACCAACCGGTTCTCTGCCCCAAATTACTCTTTTCTTCTAGAAGTTAGCGAAAACGGAGACCAGGTAGTCCTAATCCCTAGGTGGTTGTAGATTTGTTGTGTATGAAATTTTATTGGGAGTGTCCTAATCTTTAGGTAGTTATATGTTCGATATATGTAATCCTAATCCCTAGAGAGTTATAGATTATATTGATATGAATTTTGGTATATGTAATCCTATTCGTATGTTATTTCTTTTATATAAAACTTGGATGTAATCCTAATCCCTAGGTGTTTAGGTTATCTCTATTATATACAAACCCCAAATTCTAACAATAAAAACAAACAGTTTTTTTTTTTTACGAGGATAATATAATCCTTTGCAACAATATCAATCAAGCCAAACAAACACAATATCAATTCAACATAATCAACTCAATTAATATTTCGAATATGTCATTTATTCATAATAAATTCAAATAATTTTTAACTCAAATCAAGTATTAATATCATTATTAATCATGTTTAAGATTATTTAGTCCATTTAGTGTATAAGGGTAATTGTCAACTAACATATTTAGCACAACATTAATCATAATATGATAATATTCACAACTCAATGACATTCTTCATAATCAAATCAAATAACAATTTTCATTAATAATGTTTAAGTTCATTATATTTAGTGGGAAGAGAACCATGGTAGACCCGGGAAACCCTGCCAGTGTACCTCGTGACCCGGGAAAAAACCACTGTTACCAGCCACGTATAATCAAAATTGGCCATAATCAATTCACATCTTCCTAGTGTGCACACCTCTTCCCAAAGTTGCTACTAGTATCCCGGGAAAAAACCACTGTTACCAGATACCACTTTGGGAAGAACATAATTCTTTTCACATCAGTTTCACATCGGAGGCATAAAGCCCAAAAGTTGTGTTCATCACTTTGGAAGGTACCATCCCAAAGCTATCCTCCCACCATTAATTTATTACAAACACACACAATCAGGAAAGATTCAATCATAATTATTTATTCTTTAAGTATTATCATCTCTAAATGAGTTACTCAAGGGCATTATAATTTTCCAAAGTATCATAATTCAAACAACTATTATCATAAATTTTTGAATTTATATAACAATTCAAATCTTCAACATTCATCATAGTAAAATCCAATATCATAAGACCAACCAACGAGGTACCTACATAT